CCACACGTGAACAATTCGATGATCTTGTGCGCTGACCCATACTGTGAGATAATGTGTGAGATAATAAAGTTTATGACCCACACGCACAGATATAGATGCGCTCAGTAGATGTACAAGACCACTTGAATGAAATGTCAAGACCTGCAATGTTCTCCATTTAATATTAGAATAGATATGAATAATTGTGTGGCTACGACTAGGTTAAGTTACATTAGTTTCAGTAGTATTTAGGGAACATATTTTTAAAAATAAAAATCAGAATTGAATCTACACCCAAACGTAGCGATTGTATTCCTTTCTCACTAAACATTGCTCCAGTCGAGCCGAATAGAGCATAGAGTTGACAATCGAAGAGGGAGATTGGATTCTATTCTCATTATTCAAAACATTGATCTTCCGAGCAGGATCCAGAATATAATTGACAATCGAAGAGGGAGATTGCACTCTTTTCTAATCTAAACACAAACAAAGGTGCAGGGTAAACATGATTAGTTTGTTTGTTTGCAAACTGATGGACAACGAATGTTTTTTCATGGGAGAAAAACAAATTCGGCAGTTTACCACTTCCGGCCAAGCGAAGCAACTCTGTAGCTCTTTGGAGTCTATTTTCTTTTTGTTGCGGTGTAAGTTCTTGCACTTTTTGAAATTCAATGGCTTTACTCCGAGCTCATTTTTTAATGTTTGCTGAAGGGAATATTGCGAACCATTTTTCGGCCACTACGACGTGCGTTTCGATCAAGTCGCTTCTTTATTTTTCGAACCATTTCTGCTGATGTTGCTGTTTTCTTCCGTCCACTTTCTTGACGTCGGGCTACGCTACCAGTATCACGGTAACGAGCGATGGTACGAGACACAAAAGATTTACTCACATTTAAATGCTGGAGTACTCAAACGATAGCCACTTGTGGTTTCCCAGCCAAATATAAAGAAATCGCACTATCACGCTTGAATTCCATCACGAATAACTTTTTTTCTGGAACATTCTCACCAAAATGCTTTTGTACGCTTGTAAACAATATAATGAGCTATCACTGAACTTAAAGATTCTGACAACTAGTGCTCAAAGGCTGGGTCTACTGGTTCCGCAAAGGGAGATGTAGATCAGGTGCCGCAAAAATGAGCTTTTTAAAATAAAACAAGTAAAGAAGCTGTAAGTTCGGCCGGGCCGAACTTTTAATACCCTCCACCATTTGGTACAAATTTGGCAATTTCCAAAAAAAAAAAAACCGTTAAAAATTCTGTTAAAATCTTAAAAATACCGAATGCTTATACGACGACGTGGACCTGCATAGGCAACTTTTGTCATAAATTATTACAATATTTAAATGCGAAACTTGAAGAAAAATCTGTTTATAATGTAGCTAAAATCGTCAAAATACCGAATATGGGGGGTACCGTTATATGGGGGCTATACGAAGACGTGGACCTGCACAGACAATTTTCTGGCATGGGCTGAAGTATCCATTACGAACTTCACATACGAAATTTGAAACAATCCCTGTAAATAATGTCGCTAAAATCATTAAAATACCGAATATCGGGGGGTACCGTTATATGGGGGCTATATGAAGACGTGGACCTACATGGCTCATTCTTTGACTTTGGATGAAGTATCCATTACGAACTTCAAATACCAAATTTTAAACGATTCCGGTAAACAATGTCGCTAAAATCATCAAAATACCGAATATCGGGGGGTACCGTTATATGGGGGCTATATGAAGACGTGGACCTACATGGCTCATTTTTTGATTTAGGATGTAGTATCCATTACGAACTTCAAATACCAAATTTGAAACGATTTCGGTAAACAATGTCGCTAAAATCATCAAAAAACCGAATATCGGGGGGTACCGTTATATGGGGGCTACAGGAAGACGTGGACCTGCACAGATAATTTTCTGTCTTAGGCTGTAGCATCCATTACAAACTTCAAATGCCAAATTTGAAATAATTCCGGTGAATAATGTCGCTAAAATCATCAAAATACCGAATATCGGGAGGTACCGTTATATGGGGGCTATATGATAACTTGGACCTACATGGCCCATTTACGAACTTAACCTGCCTACTGGGAAAAAATACATGTGTGCAAAATGTTAGCCTTCTATCTCAATTTGTTCGAAAGATAGCGTGATTACAACAGACAGACAGACAGACAGACGGACAGACAGACAGACAGACACACAGACAGACAGACGGACATGGCTAAATCGTCTTAGAATTTTACGCTGATCAAGAATATATATACTTTGTTGGGTCTGACATGAATATTTCGAGGAGTTACAAACGGAATGACAAAATTAATATACCCTCCATAGTATGGTGGAGGGTATAAAAAAATAGGTAAGTGAACATATACAATCACATGTGAAGAATAGATCTTTTAATAGAGTTCAACGAATTACTTAAACAAATACTATTACATAGACTATTGTAAATTACACATAAGGATCTCAATGGGTTACTGATTGCGAAATTAGTTCTTGCGAGAGATAACTTTAAAGGTTCGAAATGACGAGTTCTACGAGAAGGAATATTATAAGTAACTTCCCCAGTTAAAAAATGAGAATCAATCAAACCGCGTGTTAATTTGATAATAAATAACGCTCTTAGCATAAACCGCCTCCTTTCAAGTGTTGGGAGATCAATTAACAGTAAACGATTTTCATAAGGTGGAAGTAATTCTGTCGGGTTCCAGTTAAGGCCCCGTAGAGCAAAAATCAGGAATTGAACTTGAACTGATTCGATTTTATCCGAGTAGCATTTATAAAAAGGACTCCACAGAATACATCCGTACTCTAATATTGGGCGAACTAAACTTACAAATAATATTTTGGTGACATATGGATCATCGAACTCTTTAGACCAGCGTTTTATGAAACCTAGTAAAGACTTGGCTTTATTAACACATGAGTCAATATGTAAATGAAAACGTAGTTTAGGATCTAGAATAACACCGAGGTCAGTAAAGGAATCAACATTTTCTAATTTGTATGAACCAATAAAGTAGTTAGAATGTATTGGCTGAGATCGTGATAAGGAAAATTTTTTGCATTTCTTAAGATTAAGGGACATACCGTTGGCACTGCACCAGTTCACAAGGGAATGTAAATCGTACTGTAAGAAAGTCGAATCGTCAAGGGAATTTATATGCATGTAAAGCTTCACATCATCAGCATACATTAATATTTTAGAGAATCGAATGTGATCCGGGAGATCATTAAGATACAAAACAAAAAGTAAAGGGCCCAAATGACTACCCTGAGGTGAAGTATGATGAAATCCAGCCTAACAGAACTGTCGGAAAACCCATAGTATCGAGTTTATATAGCAAAAGCTTATGCACTACGGTATCAAAGGCTTTACTGAAGTCTGTATAAATAGCGTCAGTTTGTTGTTTATTTATAAATCCGTTGTGAACATGGCACACAAATTCTAAAAGATTAGAAGTAGTAGATCTGCCTTTCATAAAACCATGCTGAAAAGGTGATAATATGCTTTTTATAAAATGTGACATCCGACGTGAGACTAAGAGTTCGTAAAGTTTAGGAATGGCACTTAACTTAGCAATACATCTATAGTTATCTATGAAACGTCTATTGCCTGATTTATGAAGTGGAATAACAAAACTCGATCTCCAGAAGCTTGGAAAATAACCTATTTTCAAGGAGTAATTAAATATCTTAGTCAATGGTAAGTATAATTCTCTAGCACAAGATTTTAAAATATAGGTTGGAACACCGTCAGGGCCAGGGGAAAATGAGGAGCGTAATGTCTTTAAACCATTTAAGACTTCGTCTTCGGTTAAGATAATGCAGGGAAAGTGATTCAATGAAGTGGTATGAATTTCGCAAGGGCCTCTAGATGTGCCCTGGGTATAGGATGACTGAAAAAAGTCAGCAAATAAATTTGCAATTTCAAGATTGTCTGAAGACTCTTTACTACCAAGTTTCATGCTGGAGGGAAATTTCTGAGCTCTCCTTTTGGAGTTTACAAATTTAAAGAAATTCTTAGGATTGTTTAATAAATTCTGCCGCATTTGGGCTAAATGCTGAGAATAACATTTGGAGTTTTCCGAATTATATCTATTTCTTGCCATGGAATATTTTGAATAATTTACGGCAGTGTTAGATTTTTTGAAATTTTTGAAAAGTCTATTTTTAATATTACGTAGACGTCTTAGTGTAGGTGTAAACCAAGCAGGGCCTTGGTCAACTAATGGTTTTGCCATTGGTACGGAGCTAGCTAGAGCTAAATTGAGCTGTTCATAAAATTTAGAAACACGTGAATCAATGTCGCCATTGATGCACCACATAGAACCTGATAAGAGAGAGCGTAGTAGGGGTATATTGGCCTTCGCAAATTTTCGCCTACTAGATAAAGTTTTAATAACAGTAATATCGGACAGAGTGTTCCTTAATTCAAGGTTTAAAAGGAGCGTTGGATGATATGTATCCTCAGGAATTACAAATGGAGGTCTCTACAAAGCGAAATATTTAGGGAAGATGAGAAAATTAAATCTAGGAGTCGTTCCTTACCATTGAGTATAAAATTTACTTGGTATAAACAAAGTTCATAAATCTTATCCCAAAAAGCGTCGAGTACAACTGGGTAAGTAGAGGGTACATAATCTAATTTATTATCACCCGAGACCCAAGAAACATTAGGAAGATTAAAATCACCCATGCAAATCAAAGTAGAGTTATCTGTTAGCAAAGAGGAAACTTTTCCAATAAGATCAGCGTGATTTAAGTAAGTTTCAACCCCTGAATTAGGTGTAATATAAGAGCAGCATAAAAACAACCTTTGTTTATTAGTGGAGAACGATGGTAATGTTTACCTGGGGGTAAGGCAGGGAATACCTAGGTTTCGGAAAATTTAAATTTTGGATTTTTTATTGCATTTTTAGCATACCAATATTTGTTGTTGGTTTTGTTATTGTTTTTGTCATTGTGTCAACATTAAATTAAATAAACCTTATAGTTACGGAATTCCAGACCAGCGATGAACACCAAAAATTTTGGAAAAAACATCACATCAAACAAATTGAAATTGAAATAAAATTTTCGTCCGTCAAAACAAAAAGAGGGACACCATTCATTGCTTGCCTTATGTAAATACAAAATGGGTGAATAGAACGGCAAAAGATGACAACAAAATAGAAGAGAAAGCCACACACACAACAAATTGCTCGCTCAAAAAAACTGAATGAATGTCCAAAAATAAAATGTTGAAACTGAACAAAAATAAAATGTTGAAAACACGAGGCCATAAATAAAATATGAACGTTAAAAGTTTCCTTATAGTTATATTAAAGTGGGATGGGGCGTTCGATGGCCAGGAGGTATTAGCAACTCTCTATAGACAACAGACGAGCAGGAGTAAATATCCATAGACGAGCTGGAGTGAGTCTAGACGATCTGTAACTAAAACTCATAGTCGAGCTGGAGTGAGTCTACAACGACAAGCATGAGTGAGTCTCCACAGACGAGCTAAAACGAGGCTCCATAGACGAGCTGGAGTCAGTCACCATAGACGAGCTGGGGTCAGTCTCCATAGGCGGGCTGGAGGAAGTCTCCATAGATGAGTTGAAGTGAGTCTCTGCCAAGCCAGCAGCGATAAGCTGATGAGTGGGTCCAGACACTCCACAGAGTAGTTCGTGGTGCACTTCATATAAAAGATGGTGGGCCACTGACTTTCCATAGAGGAGACGGTGGTTCAATGACTATCTGTAGAAGAGCTGTTGGCAACTGACTCTCCAGAAAGAAGCTGTTGACCATGGACTCTTCATAGGAAAACATTTGCCGTGTGGGGGTGCGGGTGTTGGGTAGGGCACTGACACAGAGCGCAGGGTCAGGTGAGCCATTGACTTTCCTCAGAAGTACTGTTGGTCCATAGAAGAGCTGAATGCCCACTGACTCTTCACAGTGAAGCTAAGTTTCTACCGACGAGTTATTGGATATTTGGGTGGGGCACTGACACAGAGCGCAGGGTCAGGTGAGCCATTGACTTTTCTCAGAAGAACTGGTGGTCCATAGAGGAGCTGAATGGCCACTGACACTTCACAGTGAAACTAAGTTTCTACCGACGAGTTTTTGCATCTCCATAGACGAGGTGGTGCCGAGTCAGAAGCGAGGAGGTGGTTGGGCGCTTACACTCCACAGAGGAGCCGGTGGGCCACTGACTTCCCATTGATAAGCTTATGAGTGGCCCACCATATAGAGCAGCTGGTGGACAGTAAGTCTCAAAGATGAGCTGACGTAACAGTGAGTCTCGATAGTCGCACAGGAGGACAGGACGTTGAATCTCCAAGATTAATCAGTTTTGCCAAGTGCCTCACTGACCCTACATCTTGCTTGTAGAGCAGCTCGTCTCTGAGGCACACTGACCAACATCTTGTATATAGGGCTTCCCTGACACTTCAGCTCTTCTCTAGGGCCTCACTGATCCATCAGTTTCCCTTCGTCCCTGGGGTGCACTTACCTTTCAGCTTGCTTGCTTGACCCTTCAGCTCTCCTCTAAGGACTTACTGACAATTCAGCACGCCTCTACGGCCACACTGACTCTTCAGCTCGAGTTTTGAGACTGACCTGCCCTTCAGTTTTCCTCTAGGGCCTCACTGACCCTTCAGCTCGCCTGTAGAACCCCAGTAACTCTTCAGCTTTCCTCTAGAAACTTATTAACCCTTCAGCTTGTCTATGGAGTTACCCAGCCCTTTCAGCTTATATACAAATACACGTCAGCTTTTGATGGATTACTGAATTTCCATAGAAAAGCTACTAAATGACAAATGATTCTCCAAAGAGGTCACTGAGTCTTCTCTGACTCAGTACTAAAAGGGCCACTGAGTCTCCATAGACAAGATACTTATGTCGCAGGTCCATTAGAAGCTCATCCATATACTAGGATGAACTTCTAATAGACCAGGAAACCTTTAGAGATGATCTGGCGGACCAGGCAATACGTGAGATAGGTATTCGCCATTGATAAAATATTTCAAAATTATTTTTCACCCACTCTATTTCAATTTTTCAGTTTTGAAACAGATACAAAATGCCTAAGTCCTATTTTTAAAAATATAACTGACCCCATACTGCGTATACGTGGTGACAGCACTCATACGCACTATTGTACGTTCAATAAAAATTCCTTTTGAAGAAGTAGAAACAATTGAAATTTGTTCTTATTTTCTAATTGTGATTTAATCACTTTTCCCCTCGTAACCATAATAATTTATCTACATACATTTCTGCGTCAGAATATACGACACGGTAGATATTTATTTGAAAAAGAAAAGAAGAAAACTGTTGCAATGACCCGACAATATAACAAACAACATTTGAAATTATCATCAACATCAATTCAAATTCACCGAAATATGTTTTTTTTCAAAATGGTTTTGTAGTTGTTGTAATATTATTGTGACAGTATATCACTTAAAAGCAATTTACTATGTCGACGACAGAATGTAGTATTATTTTCCTGGGTGCAAGGTTTTTATTTTTTTTTAATTTAAGGGAAGTTTTCAATGGGATTTTTTAGAGAAACTGAAGAGGCAGGAGTCGGCGATTTATTTGAGCTGCAAGGACAGAGAATTTTTACAGACGTCATTATAGTTTCAACATGAAAACCCCAGAACTTTAGTTCCACTAAAAAGTCTAGTTGGCCATTCAACTTTTTATCAAGGCTCTGGGGTTTAATTCATTTGGAAATATATTATTGCCTCCATTTTGTCTAATCACACTGTTCTAAAAAGACGCCCTGATAATCGATAACCACTTATACAGGGTGAGATAAAAAAACTGCAACAAAGTCAAACGCCATAATTTATTCTGATGCCACGGTCGATTAATACGAGCGGAGAGCGACCATCGGCTGCTATGGAAACCCACACCATCACCATGGCCGGCGCTTGAGTTCTAGTGGCCAACCGAAGGTGCACATTTTCAGCTGACCTCTTTGGCAAGTAAACAAGATAATGTTGTTTGTTTACAAACTGCTGTACAACGAATGTTTTCTCATCGGAGAAAACCAAACTCTGCAGTTCACCACTTTCGACCAACTCTTTATTTCTTTTGAGTCTACTTTCTTTCTGTTGCGGTGTAAGTTCTTGAACTTTTTGAAATTTCAATGGCTTTACCCCGAGCTCATTTTTCAATGCTTTTGTACGCTTGTAATCAATATAATGAGCTGTCACAGGAATATTTTAACAGCTGTCGGACGGCTGGCTTAGAAATAACAGCAGTCTGAATTTGGTTGCAGTTTTTTCGTCTCACCCTGTATAGGGAATCCAGGCCCTTAAATTAGCCTGTGTTGACGCCTTACCTTTCTGTACCTGAAAGTCTCTATGAAGTTCTCATAGCCTCTTATATTGTCTTTCCCCGCTCGTCCAGATTTTAAGTTTGCAGTGCAGGAATGCCCGTCACATTTATTCATCTATAAAAACTACCTAGGTCGCCAACACTTCCATTAATTCTGCAATCAATTCTTCAGCTCCCCCGTTAAGGCTTCATAGCCCATTGCGACATATATAAGAAAATTCATGTCCTTAATATCGGCAAAATAGACTTCTAGATTCCTCAGTTCCTCCATAATTACTCACAGACCCCTAAGCTTGTCTATATCAACTCATGTGTCCTTTGAAGTCGCCTGGGGCCTACTTTGGTCCTCTCATCTACCAACCCTGTCCATAAGGAAGTCCTGAATTTTAATTTGTATTGCAGTAATACCTCTCTCACCTATTCATCTATAAAAAAAACTACCTAGGTCTCCATCTCGTCCATTATTTCTCCCATCAATTCATTTTCGCGAACGAACCGACCCTTAGCTTTTCTATAACAACTCATGTGTCCTTTGAAGTCGCCTGAAAATACCTTTCAACTTTAGGGGCATGTTGAGGGCTACTTTGGTCCTCTCAGCTTGTCCTACCTCCCTTGTCCATAAGGACGTTAGGAATTTTAGTTTGTATGACAGTAAATCCTGTCGTACCTATTAATCCATATTTCTACCATTATTTCTTCAGCACGCCCCTTAGGGCTCTATGTCCCATCGCACCATATATAAGGAAATGCATGTCCTTAATATCGGCAAAATTTACTTCCAGATTCCTTAGTTCCTAACAGATCCCTTACCTTGTCTATATCAACTCATGTGTCCTTTGAAGTCGCCTGAAAAAACCTTTCAACTTCAGAAGCATGTTAAAGGCCTCTTTGGTCCAGTTTTGCCTCCAACAAGTCCTTCATTTCTTAACTACTTCCACTACTTCGCCAATTTTTTCTATTTTAGTATCGTTTTCCAATATAGTGCAGTCTTTGTTATCGGCCACATATCCTTGGGGTTAAAGCTCAAACATTGTTAACAGAAATGTCCTGATTTCAATTTTAAACTTATTGGGATTTTAGCTCGCCTCTCAGAATGTGGAAGTGTGTAAGTGTGAGTATGCGTGTATGTGTAATTGTGTCTTTGACAAGTTCATTTTCTTTTTTTCCTAGTTTCATTTGTTGTTTATCTCAAGATATTTATTCTTTTCTTCATATCTTGGGGAATGTAGACAACGAAGCTACATATCTATACTCCTTGTACGCCCTCTCTCTCTTTATCACCCTCTTGTCAATATCTTACAAATAATTTAAGTATGTGTGTGTGTGTTTGTGACCATTTCTGTTCGATATTGTAAATTCAACAATTGGTCATCATTTTCAATATTGGCTGGACGATTGGATGGATGAATGGATAGATGGATCAATGCCTTGGATGAATGAAAGGACGGACATATGTTCCATAGTTATATACTTTCGTAACTCGTTTATTTACACACACACAGGGAGCGGGGGAGCTGGAGAGAGAGAGGGAGAGAGGAAATGTCAACCCCATTATTGCATCTTGCAAACAAATTGTATTTGTGTGAGTGTGTGTGTAGTCGGTACACAACAACAATTGCAGGCACACTTTGTCGCTACAACTGACATACAAACAGAGTTTTTATGTGGAGTAAGACCCAGTGACAATTTTTAGGCCCTGACCCGTCCACCAGCTCGCCTATAGGGGTATAGACTCCACCAATTCGCCTATAGGGTCTCTCGGATTACTCAGACTGACCCTTCAGTTTTCCTCTAGGGTCTCACAGACCCTACAGCTCGCTTCTAGAGACTCCTGGGAATTCAGTTTTTATCTAAAGCCCCACTGACCGACCAGTTTGTCTAACTGGCCCTACACATTGCTTCTAGATACTCTCTAGACTTCAGCTCATCTTTGGGGCCCACTGACCCTTCAGCTGGCAGTTAGGG